GTTTGTGGCTGTAATGTGACAAAATGTGGAAAAGTTCAAGGGGGCCGAATACTTTTCCAAACCACTGTATGTCCCAGGGATCCTAGAAGCAATGTTGTGTGGGGGCTTTTGCCTGGGGAAGGGTTACCAGTGCCCCGCCCTGGAGCCAGGCCCAGGGAGGGTGCCCGAGAGCGAGCGTCTGGTGGACGGGCCTTAGTCAATGGGGCACAGCTGGGCACAGCCTGAAATAGGGACATGGGGCCATCTTCCTGCAAGCCCACCACCCGGAGGAGGCACCTTAGGGGTCCGGTGCATTGCGAGCTGGGCGGCGGCCAGGTGTGGAGGTCCTGGCAGACCGATCCCCGGCTACCAAGACTGACAATTGTGACATGGAATGTCACCTCTCTGGTGGGGTAGGAGCCTGAGTTAATGCGTGAGGTTGAGAGGTACCGGCTAGATATAGTCAGGCTCACCTCAACGCATCCCTTGGGCTCTTGAAACAGTCTCCTGGAGAGGGGCTGGACTCTGTCTCAGTCTGGAGTTGAGGCGGCGGGCTGGGGTGGGTATTCTGGTATCCCCTTGGCTTGCTGCCTGTATGTTAGGGTTTCTCCCAGTGGACGAGAGGGTTTGTTCCCTGCACCGCCGGATCGGGGAATGGGTCCTGACCGTCGTCTGTGCTTATGCGCTTAGTGGCGGTTCAGAGTACCCAGCCTCAAAGAGATTCTGCCTCGAAGAGATTCTGGCAAACCACCAGGCAACTCAGGAGGGGATTGAAGGCTTTCCAGGGAGTTTTCAGTACAGTAACAGTAACAGCCTCGAGAGGGCAACAAAAAACAAAACAAAACAACTTTCTTATTCATTCATTACCAGTAAATTAGTGTGAAGGGAAACATATGACCATTTCCTCACACAAGTTGACTGCGGCCAACATCCCAAGTGTTATTTGTGTATTTGAAGAAGTACACTCTACTATATGTATATGTATATATATGTACTATATGTGTACTATATGTGTGTGACATTTAAAATCTGGGTCACTGTGGCTGAAGCATAATGCAGAAAAATAGGAAGCACAGCAGACATCAGCTGGTCTTTGCTTACCATGAAGTAGTCCACACAAATGCCCAATAACATAAAACACTTTATAACTTTTGTGACTTAAACATACAAGAGAAGATTGTAACTATGTTTTTTTCAAGTACTTTTTGCCACTAAAGCAGAGTTTTGTGATTATAAACAAATATGGATGTAAATTAAGTTTGACCAGTTGCTTTTTTGCTTGACTAGAAGTTTTTTTCATGTGGTTTTAAGGTTTTAAAGCAAATGCAGAAACTTATAGACATTTCAAGTGTATTTTTTTCATTTTAGCAAACCAAAATCAAGACTGTGTTGCTGTGCTACACTACTTTATCTAATAAACAAGAACAAAGTTACACCATTCTGTTTTTGTGCATACAAATAAAAAAACATCAGTTTTTATTTTGAATGATACAAGTGGGAGTGGTCTTACTATCAAAAACACAACTACAAACTAAGTAGTTCTAAAATCCAAATATTATACAGCTAGTTAGAAGTACTCATTAAACAGATGTTTCTTACACAGATTAAATACTAGAAATTTGGATGCTGCATTTGTTATCAAACTCTCTATGATTCTTATTTCAATAATGGATCAAAAAGAAAACTAAAGCAAAATTCATTAACCCTTTATTCACCATTAGCCAGCTGACGGGCCCATTTTCCAAGCTCTATTTAAATGACTCTAACTGTGTCGTTGTTTATGCTAGAGAAAAAATGTGAATGGTTTCTAAAAAAGAAAAGCTGATGCTAATGCTAATGCTATCTGAACACAGAAAGAAAACTCAACTCTGCCTAGAATTTATCACGTGAGCTTCGTACTACTGTAACTCATCAACTCTTTGAGGTAGAGAGAATTGATCTAGGTGTAAACACTTTTTTATACATTATATTTAGTACAGTTCATATTTAAACTTGATGTTGTGTTACATTTTGTTCGTGTTGAATATCAGTTTTCACTTAACTCGAAATCTGATCCTTTTTTAATTTATTTTTTCCCCACGTAAACTGTTGTTGCATTGCCATAACAATACAGTGATGTAGAATGACTGCCAGATATTGAAAGTTGAGGTTATTCTGAAAAAAAAAAGAATGGCAAAAGCATTCACATATAGTATGATTTAAGACCCCTTTACAGACAAAATTACCAAATAAGTTACTCCTTGGTAAATAAAGGGTTAAAGCACTAACACAATGCAAAGTTGCTGAATTTAGAAAATAATCAGTGGAAAGCTATTCTACCACAATACTGAAATTCCTTGCAGGACTGCAGGGTATATTGCTTGCTCTCTGGTGTTCATATTTCTGAAAATGAACAGGGAGACATTGGTTTCCAACCTTGTCGCATGCCACAATTACAACCCTTTTCCTTGCACCAATTTTAATTTTACAATCCTTGTTCCTTTTCTTGGATGCGATGTCATATATCAGCATTTCTGAGTTGCTGATGCACAAGTTCCCTGCATAGTTATCCGTCTTGCTTAAGCGTCGCCCGTCTTTGCTGCAGATTCTGTTCACGGTCTCCAGATCACTTTTATTGAGGAACGATTGCACTGTAGTTCTGCACCAGAGGTGTTCTTTTTTTAAATACCTGCATTAATAGATCAATATTTCAGTACATAGAGATAATAATAATATTATCTGTTCTCTTATTTGTAAAACAATTCCACACACATAAAATGCTGAGTTTAATGACATCACATGAAGATGCTCATAAAGCAGCACCGTGTGGTGTAGCAGCACGTAACCCTCTGGAGCCTGTAAGCTTTTACTTTTAAGGTTGTTTCGTACTGCACACAATAAAACTAAACGTTTTTGAATTATTTACTTTTAATTTACCTTTTCCAAGCATCTATGGAATTTCTGTCAAATTCCTCTTGAAGGATGTGTCTGCTTACAAATTCTTCATAATGACTTTCTGGACTTTTGTCCTGACACGGTGATGAAGGCCCTGCGGTCATGCTGCTGCTCCCATCAATAAGGGCTACAGTGACGATGATGGTGATCAAGACAATGAATCTCATTTTATCTGCAGTTAAAAGGAGAGAAGGTGACAATCTTATGAGGTTGAAAAGAAGGCAACAGGACTTGGACTTGGAAGATATTTCACCCTCAGAGGCTTCTTCAGTTACAAGTTTGTCCCAAAATGCACTGTAAAATAAATTTGAAAAAATACAGTATAGTTTTTATTTATTTTTAACATGACTTAATATTTGCATTTTATTTAATATTACAATTATTTTCTGCTATGATATCACTAGTTTAACCCTCCTATGCTTTCAACTTTTTTGATTATTTTAAATTTATGGCACCTGTAAACAGTTGTTTTTTATATATATATATGTGCTTTATAAATACACTTGACTTCAAGAAACTTAAAGAAGTCCAGTTGCCTTTAATTGAAGGTACTTCCGCTGCACTGACCTGGATGACTCCGAACCTACACAGACAGAGAAGACAATACTGATTAGCTAACATATTTTAAAAAGGATACACTCAACAAATCATTTAAAATAATGAATATGCGGTGCATTCAAATAAAATAAAAAAACAGCATCCAGAAACAAAATCAACATATCATATACGTTTTAACATCACATTGCAATATTTTACATTAGTGTTTGGCAACTCTTATATTACGGGTAGGATCATGTGCAGAGTGCCACTAATCTGTGTTATTCCTTTAACATCTCAATACGACTCTTTTATCAAGAAAAAACGTGAGTACACAAGATTGCAAAATTACACAATTTCATCTGATAAATGAAATTTCAATATCCTTAACTGTATAGGAAAATACGAGCCAGGAGACAGAAAAGTCATCTTACCTGTCCTTGTTGCTCTGGAGGACTGATATCACCTGGTGCTCTGGTGGGTTAGAAGTACTGCATATCCTTTACTTGCTTCCCCTTTTTATCTTTTAGTTATAACCAATCATCTATCTCCAAATAACAGGAATCAAAACAGTCAAAAGCAAAGAAAAAGGAAGCATAAAAAAGCGCATCATCAAAAAGAAGTGCAGTGCAGATGGAGTGATTTCAGGTTATGAATAAATAAACCCAAACCTGTTTGATTTTTCTGAGATTACTACTGTACCAGACCTCGAGGAGACTAACTAATAGTGTTGTAGACATACCAGTGCTGACATATTTAACCAAACTGACTAAGAATAATAATAATTCATGTTTATCTTTATTAAAAAATGCACAAAAAGAGTAATCCAAAAAATAACCCAAACTTTTTGAGGACTATAAACATTTACAAGCATTAAATGACAAATCAGCTGGCTGTTCCCTTTTACACGAAACATGTAAACACATTTCAAGAAACTGTGGTTCAGTTTTTCAAAACTCTACAAAACACAACTGAAAAGAGTAAACCGCTTTATCAAAACCCCACACAGCACAAAAAACACTCAACAACACTCAAAATCACATTTTCTCATCTCAAAACTGATTCCATGTCACAAATTCCAGTGTGTGCAAATATCCCGTTTCTCCTTTTAGTGTAGAGTTGTTTACCTGCATAGCATTTGCAGTACTACATGTAAGTGCAACACAAATCATTCTATAGTAAAACTCAGTAATTTCACCTGACGTGTAGGTGTAAGTGTAAGACTACAAAGTAAATGTGTGCTCAGATACAAAAAAATGAAACAATATTTATTTGGGTAAGGGAAATTACATCTAAACCTCATCTTATTCTCTCTCTCTCTCTCTTCTTCTTTGTTGGTGTTGCTTCATCTTCTTGCCTAACACCTGCAAAAATTATTCTTGGTCTCTTTTATATTCTGACACATGACTGTATTCCCTTTCCAACTGAGTTTGCACATGTTTGCATGTTATATGCTTTGTTCTGTGCTTAGTTACTGTGTGTCTTATTTTGGTAGTCCTTAGTTTTGCTTCCTTTGTCTCACTTTGCCACCTGTTGCCTCTCAACCAGCTGCCTCCACTTCCTCTCATTAGTCTCGGTGTGTGCAAATGCCTCGCCTTTACGTTGTAAACATATTCTTTAATCCTCATTTTTTTATGTCTACTCTCAGCTCCTATTGCTCTTGTGGACTTTTGTGATGTCTTCAGATTTTTGGATTTCCAGTCAACATTCAAAGCTCACCTTGAGTTAAGACTCTATCTCAGTGTCCTTTCACTCACTGGTCATTAAATAAAAACCACTACTGTAA